GTTTGATTCTTTCACTTCAAGTTTAGCCTAACTATTGTGTAGTAGAGGAGGTTTAATGAATCATTGTTTAACTTTGATACTGCCAAGTATTTGACCATTAAATAGTCTGAAATGTGTACATAGCACTTTGGTGACAGACCCTTATTTAACTGTGATTAATTGGTATTGAATAGTTATTTAATTACTTCGGAAGAAATCTAACAACAGTGTGTGTTCTGATTAAGTTATTTGATGTAAAAACAAACATAGGATTGTTGAAGAGAGCACGTTCCTTTTTGCAGCTTGCTACTGATGCTGCACACCACATGGGAGCCTGAGAATGATTAAACCAGCAGATACTATTCACAAATTTGAATGCCGTTGTAACATTGGCATGCTTAGTTCTTTATTTCTTAAATGACTTTTTTTGTTAGTGGTTTCATGAAATTGCCTTACAAGTTTTAGGTTTTCTGTTTTCGCTGTGCTTTTGAAGCCCAGACTGAAACTCACTGGGTTAAGTAGAGGGTGCAAATATTATGTGAACTTGAAAATTTTTGTAAACTGAAGATACTGCACTAGATCTAAGAATTACTGTCTCATGTCACGTATCTGTATTGCAGAAATTCTCATGGAAGGAATTTGAGTTTTTTGGAAGTACAAAGTGTTGTAGGAAGGTGGTGTTGATAGTTTGTAAGTTTGGGAGGGAAGAATATTAGAAATTTTTGAGCAAAAATAGTGTTGGGGGCAATTGAGTTGTGCAGGCCCTGCCTTTCTTGAATAAGAGGTGCAACAGTTTCTTTAATCTGAAGTTTAACCCAGGAGTCAGGTTTGCAAACACCAGTAGAAACTGCAGGCATAACTTGTCAGCGTTTTGAGCCCTGACTCAAAATGGCTACTTGAACTTTCATCTCTGGAAATGTTTTCCCTTGCATGCTTAATAATGCATAAGCAAGCCACTGATTTACTGTGCTTCCAGTAAGTGGAAACAGTTGTTTCTTCATACCTTGCAAAATAGACCTTATTTACTTGTAGACATCCTTATAAATGTAGCAATTGCTTTGGATGCAATATCATCATGGCTATGGGGCATTTTGTGGTTATTTCCAAAGCATAGCACTTCTGCTTGGAGCTGCATTTTGTTCTCTCTTGGATATGGTGAGGGAACTTGCTTAGTTTAGTGGGTTACCATAGCTTGCTCCCTAGCTTCCGTGTAGGACATGCTAAGTAATAAAAGGCCAGCTCAGTTATATCCATGTGAACAGGCTCTGAAATAAACCTCCAGACTTGTGTTTTCTTTTACAGTCACCCGGATAATATCATTGAAAAGCAGCAACAACAAACACATGGCTAAGGCTTGTGGCTTTGCCACTTCCTTTTAGCAGTAAAAAAGTGTTAATGGTCACTCAATTTACTTTACAAGAGGGAGTTGTGTACCTCTTAGCAAAAAAGGGTGACATTTTCCTAGGCTAAATGACTTCAGGTAAGGTTTTCCAAAATTACAATGTGCAAACACTAAATAGACCATAAACAACTTTCTTCAATAACTTGAAAATTTAAAAAATGAAGTTCTGCTACCAGAGATTCACCTGAATCTTTTTTTTTTTGTTGAGGCTGGTTCACATCCCCACTGTTTAAATTGCTTTAATTGTACCAGGTGGACTGTAAAAGGTCCCAGTTTTCAAGGTTTGTCTTTTTGATAAACCATTTCTGTTGCTTACTCATATTTCAGTCCATGTCATTTTACAAAATTGCTGTATTTACATTTATAAGAGGATTAGGCAGATTAAAAGATGTATTCATGTTTTATTGATAATGTCAGATTAATTTCCACTCTCCTCGTGGCAGCTCGCAGATCTGTCAAAACACACTCTGTAGAAACAGCTACACTTCACAATTTCATAAGGTGATTGCCAAAACAGTTTTGGCAGTCAGTTAGCAGCTTGGTTACCAATGAGAAATGGAGTAGCTGGTGTCTGGTGGGTATATGGAAGAGATAGTAAGACCAGAGGACTACTGAGGCCAGCTCAAGTCAGCTAAGTTTTTCTTCATGACCATGTTCCACAAGAAGTTCACTGAGGAGACGTTACTGTGGCGGGGACCAGTGCCACAGTTGCTCTTGGTGTGCAGGATGAAGAGAAGTATTGTGCAGCTTTCATTAGATCTGTGCTGGCTCTTTTACCCCAAAAGCACTGGGGCAGATCTGTATCGTGCTTGCAGCTTAAAGCTCTTCTTGTCACAACACCAAAACTTCCCGTGGAAATGGTTGGAGTTTGTCACAGCCTCCTGCTGGTCTCTTCTCCCTAGTATTCAGTGGTAGGACTTGGGACAGGGTTTCAAAGCTGCACCAGGTGAGGTTCAGACTGGATGTTAGGAAGCATTTCTTTATCAAGAGTGTAGTAAATTCTGGGACAGGATTCTTAGAGAGGTGGTTGATGGCCCAAGCTTGAGAGTGTTTGAGGCATTTGAACAATGCCATTAGTAACATGCTTGAACTTTTGGTCAGCCCTGAATTGGTCAGGCAGTTGGACTAGGTGATCATTGTAGATTCCTTCCAACTGAAATAGTCCCATTCTGTTCTGTTCTTTTCTATTCTAACAATTACCAAAAAGACACCAAACCCAGACTCAAAATCTGCAAATGCCTCTTTGAGCAACTCCAGCTGGTGATTCTTTGACAAAACTCTCAGGAGAGGGAGATAGGAGCTGAACTCTGAGATGCTGCTGGAACTGAAACGTCCCAAGAGTTAAATCGCTTTCCACAGCAAGTGTTCTCTAGTGGCTTCTCTCCTCTAGCCCTTAAAGCCTTGTCCATACAAAATGAAAGCAAGCACAGTACTGTTCCAGGAACAAGCTGTGGATATGCTCTTCCACTCGTGGGTTGAGGGAGATGAAGGCACTGCTTGATCCTTGGGGGTGCCAGATTCGACCTGACCCAGGCTATGGCCATGGAAGGTGACCCGGCTGAGTGACCTTGTTGCCTCCTGACACTGCCACATGGGGTGGCCTTTGCTCAGTGGCTTCTTGTATCAGTCTGAAAACACCACAAATGAAATGTATTGAGCGTTAAGAGGCAGAGGAGGATTCTAAGGGTGACTTGAGGTGGGGTTTGCTCACTGTGGGACTAAGCCTTTGCCCTTGGGTACAGCTTGACACGGGTGGGTCTCGCAGTGTTTCATGGAGGTGCTCAGCACTGCCAGCTCTTCATGCTCTGCCCTTCACCCTGTAAAATAAAGTGAATAGCCCAGGAGGGAAGTGACAAAGCTGGGAACAGATTGCTCGTACCCTGAGCCAAATCCATTATGCCATCTCGTTTCCTTCATTTGCCCCTCCTGGACTGGCCACTAAGACAGGCCCTGTCAGAAGGAAGCACTTAACTTTTTTTGAAGGATTTTCTTTCTGCCAGTGAAATCTTGGTTCATTTGAAAATAACCTGGAATGTGATATTTGTGGATATTAAGAAGCCTTAGCTACAACATGCATGCAATATGTGCTAGATCATTCTTCCTCAGCCAGTCTCTGTGGAAGGAAATCACAGAAAGAGGAAATTTAAAAAAAAAAAAACTGTTGCCTTAGAGTTCCTTCTAATGTGTCTACCACAAGATGAAATAAGTGAAAGGGAACATTCCCAGCTGCCATTCTCAGTAGAAACAGATGAAGAAGATTTTGCTGACTCTTGTGCTGCTCTATGCCCTCTCTGTGTGCAAAGCCTAAAAATAGGATGAATTCTATTGTTGTCTACCTTAAGGAACTACCTTTGATAGTAAAGTACTGCAGAGCAAGCCCTTTGCTACTAGTTTCCCTCCTTGGAGTCATGTCCCAGGACAGGAGAGGGGATGTATATTGCTTGATGTGAAACAGAAATTCCCTTAAAAAGTCAGTGTTATGCAACCAAATTCATAACACCAAAACAGCCATGAACAGAAAATTAGAATGATGGTTGCTACAGAAGTTACTTCAGTATCTCTTATCTCTGAATCATGTTTCCTATGCACTCTCTGGAAACTTTAAACTTAACTACCTTCAGTTTAATGAGCTCCTTTGAAAAGACAAAAAAAAAAAGTCTTTTGTTGCCAGTGCAGTGAATGTGTTTGTACCAGCTAGAAGTAATAATTGAGTCAAGATATATGTAGATTAAAAAGCAATGTGAATGCATGTGCGGGCATCACACACCTTGGAAAAGGCCAGATTCCCATCCTTAGCTTTGTTGTTTTTTCCTGGTGAGTAGAGATATCGATTAATAGAGAAAGAAATTAATCCACTTATGGGTGGTGGCATTGTGAGTTTAATTATTAAAGAACTCTTGCTGTAACTGATTTTTTTCACTCAAGTAGAACTTAGGAAAATAGAGAAGCATAAATGCTTCACTGAGAGGAGATTGAAAATTGTTTTATTAGCTTTAATAAAGATCAGTATTGTCACGGTTTTGAATAAGTGTAAATATAAGACTGCATGAGCGCGAATCTCCCTCAAATTTTATTTCAGAAACACTTCCAAATTGAATTCACATATAATGGTGGAGGAGTGGGAACACAAATATTAAAAAGGATCAGCTAGATTGACTGAGATCTCTGTGGAATATGCATGTACTAGTGAATTTCAGCCAAGGATAGGAGCAGATTCTAGCTGATGTGACTTGATGAAACTTGCATTAAGTTGTCTGGACTGTAAACCTTTATCTGCATATGTTGAGCATATAAAGCATGTGTGTTTCACCTGTTAAATTCTGTTGGAACTATTATCTTCAAAGTCCATTTTAATTTTTTCCTAGCAGTTTAAGTAAAGTTTTTATATTTGAGTGAAAGGCATTTTTTTAAAAAAGTGTTCTTCAAAATATATTGCAGTGGTTTTAAAAGATTCCCTTCATGGTGGTTTCAAAAAGTGTCTTTTTATCTTTAGATTCCAGCTGTTTCCTTTTAACTGTTGCTAAAATGGTAAAACGTGGTGTGTTTAAGATATTTTTATCTTTTCAGGAATTATATTTACTTTCCTTTTCTTTTTTCTTCTCCAACCCTGTTTATGTAGGAAGAATCTTAAATCGCTTCTCCAAAGATATTGGCCACCTGGATGATTTGCTTCCACTGACGTTCTTGGACTTCGTACAGGTAATTGGGTTGCTATTGTCACAGACCTCTGCGCCACAGAATTTGGTTTCCTGTATGCTTTAGTGGAGATCAGCTATTTGTCACAGATGTAGCTGACTTGAATGAAAGTACTTGTTTGTGAAAGAAAGGTGTGGTTGAAATTTAATGTGTCAGTAGAAAGCTAACATGAGTAATAACTGGCAGGTAGGAGTGGCTGTACACAGCTTGCTATTATGTCAGGATTTCAGTTCATAGTAGCTACATGCTTGGTAAATTGCTCCCGATTTGCCTCCAAGCAATCTGGCAAGCTTATTGCTGTTATAAGAAATATGTCCATAGTAAAGAAACAATCAACTCACATGAAAAGATAGCACAGATTAACCTAATTACGTGTCTACTTCCACAAAGAATCAAATGCTTACCACACCATTTTGGATTAAAATAGGTGTGGCTATTTACAAAGAAAAGATTAGTAGTAATAGGGTGAATATAATAGCCTTAATAGGAACAAGTGAAATAAGTTGCTGCAGACAAGAAAAGATGGACAAAGCGCTGAGATTTTGATGATGATGGAAGGATAAAGGATACGATATCAGGGTAATTTTTCTGTTGCAGTTGTTATTAATCCTCCTTGTAAAAAATGCAGAAGGATAAAGCTGCAAAAAAAAGATCATACTGTATGAAAATAACATGAGTCACAGAATACATGGAATCTTGGAGGCTGCAGAAAGAAACAACTTAGTGGATCATCTGGGTCCATTTAGTGGATCAGGCCTGTAATGCTCAAGTCAGAAATGTTTCTTAAGGTGCTGTTGCTAACTTTGCTCTGTCTTTTAGAGATAACTTCTTCAGGACCTAAACCTTGTTTTGACTTCTTTAAAAATAAACCAAAGACATTTCAGGTTGAGCAGTTTAATTGTACTGTTAATGCTGAACTTTGTAAACAGGGGAAAAAAAATTATTCCAAGGAGTTAGTAAAAACACTTCTTAAGATAAACTCTTTTTCCTAGTTTAGTGCAATTGTTCAGGTGTGTGTTTGTTTTTCAAAGAATTACAATGCCACATGCCATTTGGGGGAAGAAAGGAAAGCAGTGTGTTTTACCTGTCAATTAAAGCAGCTGGTTGGTTTTGGTTTTTGGGGTTTTTTTTTTTTTTGTGAGTTCGACTTGCTTGTAACGAATGTTAAGATTTTTGAATTCGTGGGCTTTTAAGGTCCTGACAAATTCTTTCCTGAAAGTGCACTACAAATATCTTTCTATAGTATACTTACGTGGTTTCTACTGTTTATACAGATTCCAAATTTTCTTCAGTCTCATTAGTTGTCTTATTAGGCAGAATATCTTTATTTCGTCTCTCTTTGGACAATTCATGTGTGCCCTTCTTTTTGAGTGGAAGCCCAGGCTGTCCTGCAATCCTTATCCTCTTCTCTCAGCATAGGATTTACATCCACGAAGTCAAACGATCTCTTTTGCATAGTGCTCCCTTGGTCATTAGACCAAGCAGTGCAGAGGAGTTGCTGTTTTCATAGATTTGTCCCTTTTATGGCAGACTGTGCTGCTACTGCTCTTGGCCAGAGCATCCTCTAGGTCTTGGGGTCTTGAGATAAAATGATTAACCCTCTCCTTCAGCTCCATGCATTTGCAAAAATGTGAGAGTTGTGTCGCAGCCCACTTGCAGGGTGTTTTTATAGCAAGAAACCGAGTGGGTGTTTTGCATGCCCCAGCATGTGTTTTAAAGGCATGTAGGGTTGTCTGAGGATGCAGAATTTTCTGGGAAAATGTTAGAGAAGTTTGCTCAAGCAGAGGGAGCCAAAATTGATGTGGTCTTATCCAAACTCCCTTTTCGAAGCAGACCCTGGAGCAGACTGTCTTGAGAATTACACACTCCTCTTTTTTTTTGGAGGGAACCAACTGCTTTCCTCCAAAGGAAAGCTAAGGAAGGAGCTAACCTGTATGCAGGGCACATACAGAGGAATTAATCATCTGCTAGTAAATGGGAAAACCTAATTATTTAACCAGTGTATAGATACTTAAGGCAGCGTGTGCTTACCACAACTTAACTGGTCTAGGATGGAAGACTGAAGGCCGTTGCTCTAGATGTGATTGGGTTTTGTCTTTCAAGCTCCTGCCATAAGCCACGTTTTGTAAATATTTCCCCTCATGTTGATTACTTTGTGTATTTCTTTTAAATTGCCTGTTGAATAGCTTTTCAAATTCTGAAGTGTGCATATTAAGTGATAAGTTTTTGCCTGTTCTATTTGGCCTCAGAAGAGAAGATTTAGGAAGTTTCTGTTGATTATAAATGTGCTGCTATCCAGAAGACAAAAGCACTTCCTTCTTAACAGGTTTTCTAAAATTTACTGTTCTCAATTGGTAAGCTTGTTGGTTATTGGATGCCTTTTGAAATTCAATAGCAAAGATATGATATTTTTTTCTGAAGAAGCACAGATTTTTACAAAGGATAACTGTTATCAATTATGATAGAGATCTTTTGTCACTTGTTTTGTTTGCAGGTGTCTTTTATAAGACTTCTATAATCCCTTCAGGAAGAAATATTTTCTCCTTTCTAAAAACAGTGTTAGCTAAATATAAAAGCTCTGATCCCAGCCATTGTTGTCGATTCTTTGAGAGACATTTCCCAACAGTCATTGTTTAAATGGTTGTCAGGAGGAATCAAGTGAAACTTAATAAACAATGCAGTAACTGGTTCATCTTACTTTGTGTGCAGAAGCTTTTCTTGAGCGGATTTGCATCGAAGAAGTGGTCTTTTTTTCTGAGTTATTGCTAGGATCGTTGTGAAGCATTCTACCCTTTTACTATATTGGCAAGTGAGTGTATAACTTCTGCACAAATACAGTGTGATTGGACACCCAAAAGCTACAGTATGAGCCCATTTAAACAGCTATAAATAAAGAAATAAATTTTTAAAATCTGCTATTTTCAAGAATTTTGTAATTACTTCAAGTACAGATTTTAAGGCAATGCTAAAAATTAATAATATTCCTTTTCAGAGTGCCTAATCAGATTTATGCACTGCACTGCAGTCATAATGAGCATGATTGGTCTAGACAGCTATAATGGATGAAAATTAGTTCAAGGAATTAAACCAGTTGAGTTTTTTACATCTTCCATTGAGTCAATGAAGAAGGAACAGTCAGTTCTCTTCAAGACAGTGGGTAGTTACTGTTTACTGATTTGTTAAAGCAAAAAAACCAGGTATGTGGCAAGCACAAAAATACTTCCTAGACCTTCTTTATGCTTCTGAAAACTGGGCTAGATTTTGCAAAGCTTGTTGCTTTGCAGTAGCTCCCAAAGTAGCAACTCTCACTGCCTTTCAAGTTTCCTGCCAGTGCTTGCTTTCTTTGTTTTTAAGTGCACCAAAATGTAGCACTCCTGTCTTTGGAGAGACGGGACAGAAGGGGCAGTCCCCAGTAGGACAAGGCAGTATTCTTTTTTTCTTCTCAATTTAGGAATTTTAGCAGCATATGAGATGTGTCATGTTAGTGTAGTTGACTGTCTTTTTGAAGAAATTACTGCTGTATCCACAAGATTTATAAATAAAAGATAAGTCTCTTATGAGACAACATTTAGGACTGTGTTGACTACGTGGCTGTTGAACAGAACCCTTTGGCTAGATGTGAAGTACAGAAACTAAAAAGAAGCCAAAGGTTAAGTCAGGCACTTCAACTGAGATCTCTTCAATTGTACTTTTACAGTCCAGTTCAAAGCTCATTAAAGTAAGAAATAAACTTTACAGTCTGCAGTCTAAGCCTGAATGAACTTGTTTGATTAAGATTTTTTTTTTTTGTGAGCTCACATACTTTTCATTACTTGCCTTAGTACTGTTAGCCTCCTGAGCTTTGGTTCTGCAACTCGCTTTCTTTTTCCTATCCTGAGTTACCTATTTTTGGCAGGTATTTTTCAACTAAGTTACAATATCCTCTGGTAAAGGGCTACTTGTGAAGGCAGTTACACTGCTTTAAAAAATTTTAAGAGGATTTAAACATCTTCATTTTGATATAGATGCTTTATTTATGTATTTGTTAATCAAGGAGCAGGCCTGACAGCAGCCTTGAAGAGCTACTCAGATGCAAGTAATTGCAGAAATGCTTCCTTTAGTTGGTACAAACTTGATCATCCTAATAGTAAGCCCAAAGGGACTTAAGGAAGTCAGGCAACATTTCAGTTGACTGGGATTTTGTTACTTAATTTTCTTAGGCTCCTCTGAAGATACCAGCTGATGTACTTGGAGGTATAGCCAGCTGTTCCTCCTCCTGCCTTAGGCTCTGTGGGATTCCAGGGTTCTGTTGTGTGGGCTTCACACATACTAATTTGGGAAAAGGTCAGCCAAGGAACAGAATAAAAGAATTTAACAAGGAACTATTGGGAATTAAGAATACAATATATTTAATAGTATTTTATGCATGTTAGCCCAGATAATTCTAAGTGGCCACTATTTTGGGTGCTGCATTTTTGAGAGCTCGTCAAAGGCTTGTTTTTAGAACCTGAATCTCACTTCAGCTCGAGATAGATCTGCAGAGGCGTAACATCTTCAAACTGTGGTCTCAGGTGATGCAGGGTGTACCCAACAGGATAAACTACTGGTTGAAAATGTTATCTCTAAACTGATTGAATACAAGGACTATGAAATGCATTTCAGACTTTCTTTTGGTTTTGTTAATTATTATGATAAATTTTAAAGGGATGATTTTCTCTGGTTTTAATTCTTCAGTGATCTTATTACTTGTTAACAGAATTGATTTTCTGCTTTAGTTTCTAGTGAATTTGAGTAACTTAATGTGATGACCCCTTCATTTTGATTTCTTACCCTGTGTTGGATCCAGGGGAAAAAAAAATCATGATCTGTTTTGTTTCTGGAGAACACTGTGAACATGTGAACTATCTGCAGCTGCCCTTGGAAAAGGGCAGTGATTTATTGAGGAAAACTGAATTGCAAAACCTTTTTCCTCCCCAAAATCAACAGCTTGACTGAGTTTAAATAACTGACTTTTCATATCCTTT